TTCCTATGTTTCAGCGGAACAATGAAAGTTTCTTATTCTAGTATAGCAAGATAGAGCATCACTTACTCTATCGATCCATACTATTTCCATTCTATTTTCTCTAGTTTTATTTTGCACTTTTGTTCAAGTTAAATTTTTTTATTTTTTACTATATATAATCAAATTAGTTCTGAGGTTCGTGAGGACATACGCACGTTATATATTGAACGGTTTTTTCTTCCTTTCGAATGGCCGTTAGACTATTTATTTTTCGGCCAATTCGTTTAAATACATTTTGAACAAATACCACGTAATAAAATTTCCGATATTATCGAAGGACGTAACTTGCAACTTTTACAGCAGATACAAAAGCAAAATTAATTATATGAAATTAGAATAATGGATAATGAGTAGCTCTGATGCTGCACCGATGGATTATGCAATATGGAGATATTTAAAACACCGACTGAACAAAACAGAAACAAACTGTCTGAAGCCGACAAGACTTTTGAAGATATATAATGCTCGAGGTTGTCATATTGAACATCGTTTGTGATTGTACATTTTTTGTTTGTATATATTTATGATAAATAATAAAAAGATATGATGTGAACAAAAGTGCAAAAGTATTTTTTTGTACTTGTTAGAGATCCACTGATTTTTCTATATAAAACTAGAGAAAATAGAATGGAAATAGTATAGGTCGATAGAGTAAGTGATGCTCTATCTTGTCATACTAGAATAAGAAACTTTCATTGTTTCGCTGAAATACAGCAAATCGTGAAAAACTATTAAAATTAACGTGATCAACCTGTATATGAGTTTTTACTGTTATAGAAAGAAGAAATGAATACACTTTAAATCATATATTACAGGTTTTTTTTAATACCATTGATCTCTGAAATATTTTTCTGCAATTTTGTCTAAATATTCGAGAAAATGTATCTTTTTATGTGTATACGATTTAACAAATATACTTTTAAACAGATCAATTGAAAATCTTATAAAAGAACAACTTACGAAACTGATCGTATGTACTCGATTTCATATAAATCCATTGCATTAAAAAGTATTGTTCAGTGTTTATTTGCATCGATCTCTATCACAAATGCTATAGAATGTACGTGGAAAGCAAAAACTCGATGAACAACAACAACTTTTCTTTGGATAAATGCTGAAGCGCATGTTTAATAGCAAAGGGATAGCACATCAATTGAAACAGTCAATTAGTAGTAAGAGTAGTTATTGTAGTGATTTATATTTTATATCTATGCTCAATTACTTGTTATTAACCGTATGTATGAATAGAATACATTTATATTGAGAATAAATTAGTTTTTTCAAACAAATGTAAGCAGTAGTGGATGATGCAATTCGTATAGTTCTACAGAAATTCAATATGATAGTTAGAAAGATAGTTCGTACTTTTACATAGTTTTTTTTTCGTGTAAAATATATATTAAATAAATAAAAACTTGTGTTTCTTAAATTAATGATAATTTAATAAAGAATTTCTTATTTAAGGTTGTTTTTTATTCGTTTCCTAGCTCAAAAACCACGATCATTACTTAATTTATTTGAAATTCAGAATTAATAAATATTCTTCCTCGATTCTTTTCTCGTATACATAAATGAAATGGTACATGTTCACACGTAGTTTTTTCTCCATTATACTGACATCCATATGTCGAATTTACTTTATATAAGCCAGCACCACCAAAAGCTGACCGTACTTCAAGTAAACCATATTTAATTGGCATATGTTTTTGGTGAATACCAATAATTAAATCTACAAGTGTACCACCACAATATTTTTTACCAGATCTCCCTAAATCCCATACTCGATGCCAGACATCATAGTTCATAACTGAATCAGATAATGTACGTAATGCCCAAATATCATAATATGAACCACTAGATGATGCTGTCATTACTGACCAATCATCTATGTTATATCGAAAATTAGAAAGAAAAGAAGAAACTGTTGTAGAAAATATATCTAAATCGGTAACTAAAATATAATCAGCTTTTAAATCATGTGCTTTGTTAAGTAGTTTATTGCGACAAAAAGCAAGACGATCAGTACGTTCTGGATATGATTTCATCATATTACCATATGTGTAAACCTGTGTACGAGACCAGTCATAAAGTTTTTCGAGGGTTTTATCATTTGAATCACTTTCACAAATAAGAATACGAGATGATGAATGAAAAAGATCAAGAATTGGTTCAATATGAGTTCGATAGTTTTTAATCTTTGATTCAACACTACGAGCACATGCTACGACAATTAAACGAAGAGAATGAAGTTGATGAAGAATATTTTGATATGATGAATTTGATATTCGTTGAGGTAAATTTGTTTGTGGATATTCACGTTCAAAAAAAGGTCGATTGTTTGATACTATGGATACACAAGTGGGCGTAGGAGCTTTGGATGAGAGACGAATAGTAACCGTTGAAGACATAGAGGTTGTTTTGTTTTCTATTATCAACGGTGAAATGGTATTTGAAGATTTGTTGCCGAAAAAGAAGATAACAAGAGTAAAGCAACTGATAAGTACGAAAAGTAATAAGTATTTTAACTTGAAACATTTAAGCTGATGATATTGAAGCATTTTTTTATATTTATGTATTAAAAATTGATAAAATATTTGAGCAATATCACTAGTTGAACATTGTTTTATGGTACTAAAGAAAAAAAAAAAAAATAAAGTAGATCATAACAGAAACTCCAAGAAGTTACAAAAGAAACCGTTAGAAGTATTTCATACCAGATGTAATCATGGTTACAAGTTTTCTATTCATCTATCACATACAGTCACTGATATCACTCATTTTCGTTCTTTATTTGCTTTCTTTTGTGAAACAAGAATCCTTCTTCTCTTCACATTACCCACTCCTTAAATACTCAATGATGTCAGTAGTATGTGAAGAAATAAAAAGAAAATCAGCATTCTTTATGGCAAGAGATATATAGCATGCCATAAAAAATTTTACCGCTCGAGAGAAGAGAAGTACATATATATATTTTAGTTCTTTCTTTTCATTGTTTTGTTTCGATCAATAATCCTGCCTTCCAGACAGTATAATAAATAATGAAAAAGGAGATCTATTTGTCTATTAGATTTTATACAACATACATAACTGCATAGAGAGAAAAAGGAAGAGACAGATAGTTAATAGATCTTTATCCGTCAAAGGGTAATCTAGTTTTAATTATATTTTTTGAATGAGATAAAATCTCATCATTTTACTTTTTTGCTATTTCTACTATTGAAGTTATGATAGTGACTAAGTGATCATTTATATATATCAAATCAAATTAAACAACTTAGGCAGGTTCATCGCTGACTCTTTGCGAGAGCCAAGGATTTGTTTCAAATAATAAACGAAAATAACTTAGAGATCTATATAAAAGAATATGTAAATAAAAACTAACTCGAATTGAGAAATCTGACTTGAGTCGTTCGATCTTTTACAACGTTGTCTTCTATTCGAATACTTTTCAAAAAAATAAAACGATTACTTACTTAAGTATCGTTCTGACTCATACCATTTCGCTTTCTCCTTTTTTTTCTTTCCTGCTCTCTTTCTGTTCCTTTTTTCTTCATCGTTTTGTGAAATCGAATTGAGAATGAGTGTCGAAATATCAGGGGTAGAAACTTTAAATCTACTGCTATTCTTCTCCTCACACAGGAGTGACAGACATCTTAGCGACGATGTGCCATAAAATTGACAGATATGATGGCAAGGTTAAAGTATATGACATCGTTAATAACAAAGTGAAAATTTCTATGGTTATTTGTTAGGTTGAGAATAATATAATTCTACTGAAAGATATATAAAGTCTGTTTATTTAGTAATAAAGTATTTACTATATACAAGATCGCTACGTTGTCTTTGTAAAAAAATATAATATAAACATGTTTTTTAAATATTTTTAAAATCCATATTTGTTTTTGCTATGGTGGATGACATGGTTTTTTTGCTGTCATCAGTATTAATAGATGTATTTATTTGTTGTTTATGTTTCAAATGTTTATTATTACTATCTCTTTCATTGCGCAAACTTTTTTGTTGATCTCTTTGATTCAAATATGAATGTAATTCATCATGTTTACCAAGTATTCAAACATGTATGCGACACCTTGTGTCATTGTCTCATAAACCAAGAGATTCATGTTAGACATAAAGAAAAAAAGACAGAGTGTTCGAATGAAATTTGTTTAGGAAAAAAATCATTTCCAAACACCCGGTCATATGTCCGGTAGTTCAAAATACCTAGTTTGCAATGTCTTTGTCCCGTGTGGCTGTTCGTGAATATGCCTCTTCTTCACTCACATACACACCCACACCCTTGTTCTGTACAACTTTACTGTAAAAGTATGTCAACATTTGAAAATAAAGAATGTAAAAAGTTATCTAGCACATGTTATCAGCATAGAATCCAGAACGACAAAAGAAAAAAAAATGTAAGTATATTAAAAAAGGAGCGAGACTTCAGATACTCACACATTTTTCTTGCATTCTTATTTCTTCGTTGCTACTATGAATCAGGGTAGGTGTGCAGCTATCTGCTTGAGTGTTGTTATTGTTGTTGTTAGTTTACTTGACCAATGTCGATCGACTCCATTAGATGATTATGTACACGCACCTGACCCACATTTTGCCTGGACTGTGATACGAACGTATGAACAACCTGACTATATGTTATACATTCTCAATTTTACCTCTCAACAATGGTTCAACGGTGAGTTATATTAGATAGAAATAAATTAGTTTTCATCTTTTAATAATAGAAAGCTTCTCAACTCGACCTATTTGGTGGCATTACTTGTGTATTACCGTTCCCAATCGACTAACGCGAGCAAAAAGTGCTTTTATGTTGATCGATGGTGGTAGTAGTAACGATGCGTAACTATATCTCATTTGATACGGAAAAGAAATATAGAACACTTTTCAATCACGTTTTCTATAGGATGCCTAAACCGGAGGATAACTTTGTTTCTCTTACATCCATGTTAGCTGTTAGCAGTGGTAGTATTGGTGTCGATCTTCTAGATATTCCCAATGAACCAATTCGTTTCATGGTAAGTTTCATGCATAGATCTAGTATATTTCTATATCGTAATCTATTGATAGGCTGATTCGACACAAAGAAATCGATTTGAAGATGCAATTATTGCGTGGACATGGAAAACATTTATCGATGATCCAAATAATTCATACGGTCTTGTTCTCTTACCAATGACCAAAGTATTATCAAATATGCCTTGTTATAAAAGTTTGCATGCATTCTCATTCTATTGAGGCTTGTGTTCGTGCTATGGATGTTGTACAACAATTTGCGACTCGACTCAATATATCTGTTCCAGAAACATTTGTCATTAGTGGTGCTTCTAAGGTAATTATATTCTTAAAAAATTCAAAGATTTTTGTAAATAATTTTATGAAATTGTAGCGTGGATGGACAAGTGAGCTATTGATTTTTCTGTTATATGCTTACGATGTATTACTTAAAAACTTTCAGCTTGGACAACGGCCGCTGTAGATAATGTGCGTGTCATTGGGGCAATACCCATCGTGATGGATATGGCCAATTTTCAGGAGGTAAGAAATAAGTAATTTATTAAATATATTAATTGAATGGGTTTTTCTTCGATAGAATCTTCATCATCACTTTCGAGTAAGTGAATAAAATGCCTTATGGTGCTCACTTTTCTTCTCTGGTTAACTTTTGTACATAGTCTCTGAATGGTTGGACATTTGCCTTTAAGGACTACTATGAATTGAACATTACTAAAACTGTTGATAATCCAAATCTACTCAAAATGTCAAAGGTTATCGATCCATACTGTAGGTTGATAGCATTCTTTTCTTTTTCACATACATGTTCATGTAGACTATTTTGATCGATATACAAAAACGAAAATCTTACAAATACAATCAAGTGGCGATGAGTTCTTTCTACCTGATAATGAGGTAGAATAGTTTAATTGATACGATCGAGTTCCATGTTATTTCATGTTCATTTTCAGGACACATTTTGGCAAGAACTGCAAGTTGCTACCGGTGGTTCGTATCTTAGGTATCTTGCCTGAATAAAACCATCAATGTTCTCTATATATTTTTAATATTCCATTATAGACGATTGCCGAATGCCGAACATTCGTGCGCTGGCCATGAAATTAGCTTATTCTTAACAATGCGAAGCTTCTATTTGAGTATCTACGATGTGAGCAAGATTAGTATTTATTTATTCTATAATACATTTTGTATTTAATTAATTTAAGAATCGATCTTTCCCTGCTTTGCGCTGGAACAAAACATCGAATAATACACATGGTTACATTCGTGCAATCGTCGATTTTAGTGTTGGTCCCAAACCGATAAGCGCCTATGGGTATCGTGCTCGTACATTGAATAATCAACGGTTAGTAGTTATGCATACATTTCACCATATTCATTTTACTAGTCGCTTATTTGCTATAGACGTGATTTTCGTCTTCTCATTGCTGATCCCAATCATCCAGGCAAGGCTATGGCTAATCCAGTGATTTGGTTCAACATTGCGATTGTCACTGAAGTAAAAATAAGATATTCTTTGTTATTTTCTGATTATATTCTATTGCTAATATTATTCAGGTAGAAACTGCGACAACACTAGTCTATTCATTGACTATTGAAAATCCAGCAAGTGGTTGGGAAGGATTTTTCGTTCAAGTAAACTTTCCTGGCCCAGATGGTACGATTCTCGAGCTCACAACAGAAACCCAGATCATTCCAGACACATATCCTACAGCTGACTGTCATAATGAAGAATGTTTTGGTAATCTTGTGTAATTGCTTCGTTCTATTTATATTCAATAAATATGATAAAAAACTAATAAACATCGAAAAGAAAAAACATGAAAAAGTACGATTGCATACTCTTTTTCACTGCATCTTCTCTAATTATTCTTCAAAGTATGAGTAAGAGTGACGACGAATATATCACTTACATCCTTTCCTAGATTCTAGTATGTTCTACGTTTTACTTTTTCGAATCTTTCTATCTTATATTATACAATTCAGGGTGTGGGTGTATGCTTAACCCACCATCAGTCGCATATTATTGCCACATTCCCTCACATTTATTTATATATATTGATAAAGAAATATTAGCACAAGAAAATATTCAATTATATTTTTAAGGTTTGATTGGATTGAGTAGCTTTGCTTGTTTCTTGTCCACGACGGATTCTGTACAGCGGACGGCTGAAGCAGGGTAACCAGAAAATGAATTTTAGTAGAATAGTTAGGATCGGAAGATATAAGCATAACGAAGAAAGATTATAGAATGCTTTGGCCACAGTCAATGGAAACCAGAATGGTATTCCTACTGCAACGACATGTCCAATAGCAAGTAACAAAGTTACAGTACCAAGCTTTGATTGTACAAAACGCCATTCTCGCCAATTCAATAAAGTACCGATTGCAGGAATACTTGTTATAGCCAAAACAGACATACTAAGTACAGTTAGAACACCTAGTAGAGCTGCTATTTCACCTGTTCCAGTCATAAGATTACCTTGAACGATGAGTCGAGTCTGATTGTGAATGGTCATTACCTGAATTTTAGTAGAATGAAACCATGAAGGTATATAAGCAGGTGATAGAAGAATAATCGTGAAAAGACCGTGACAAAGAGCGAAAGCAAATGTCAATAGACCTAGATATTTTCTGCTTAACATCCATCGATCTAACCATGCTGGAAATCGTCGATCTCGTGTTCCATAACTTAATTGAAAGATACATGCAAGATTCGACGGCATGTATACAATAGCTAACATAGTGATGACACATGGACCTAATGCTTTATTCATCATAGTTAAAAAGAGCTGGTTCCATGAACTTCCTCCATAATTGATATAGTACATGCAGAGTATGTAAGTAAGCCAGATACATAACAGAAACAATGCAAAAAGAACAGGAATTCGCCATTGAGGAAATAGAGATTTAGTGTCACTTTCTAGACGCCGTGCTGCTCGAATTGAACCCGCATTAAACGATTCAAAATTCATTTCACGTGCAAGTGCAATTACTTTGTCTTTAGCTATTGAATGATCACTTGCAACAAGAATATTGTGTGATTCACCTGCTGTTGTACTTTGGATGACAAATGATGATACAGTATTAAATGCTTTGACAACAAAAGCATTGGGTATTGCCTGCTGAAGTTGTTCCGCATTGGACAAATCATCCTGATGTATTTTTTCAGAAGTTTGATTTGATATATCAATAAGAATTTTGCCATCGAATAATGACGGTTCATCATTGAGACATGAAATGAGAGAATCCTTATAATTTTCAGGATGAATAGCTACAAAAATAATCGACGAACGTCGAATACATTCAACAATGGTAATTGCTTCATATTTTGTACCTTGTCGCTTGGCTGGAGAACGACTACCTAATACTACACGAAATCCACTTAAAAATAAACGATACGCAATGGCAAGACCCATATTTCCAGAGCCAATAACACCAATACATTGATCATCATTCATGTTACAAAGTAAGTAAAAATTCTGTTAGTTTTTACGAAATAATATATTTATTATTTTGAGATTAACGATTAGAAAAAGAAATGATATCAAATGAATAATATCAAAAGGGATTATGTTGAAAAGCAAAAGATCAAAAGAGAGAGAAAGAGAAAGCAATGTTAAAAGGCATATTATGTAGAAAGAGAAAGTATTAAATGTGTACACATAGATAATGACGATGTCTAAAGTATTTGTTGCGGCAAATAAAGATTATCTTTATTGATAAAGTAAAGGTAAAGTGACACTCCTAATCTATAAGCATAATTACAAATGTATACCTACACAACAATCGATAATTGTACATGGATAAACTGAAAAATGAATCCATTTTTAGAATTTATAAAGTATCCCTTACAAATACGTTCAGATCTTTTATGGGATTTGTGAGCGAAGAGAAAAGTCGAGGAGTGATTCTTCCTGAATAATTGGAAAGCATGGTTCTCATGGCAGCTTAGAGAGATTGGCTAGTTCTTTTTACTTTCTAAATGTATCACAAAAGGAAATGATTTTTCAAGATAAACATTAATGTAAAACGTGATATGAAAACAATTCTACTCCCCAATATTCAACACTTCCGTACCCTTTACATTCCTCTTATCTTGAAATCCCTGTGCGGAACTTGCCGCTATCTCGATATATTCTATTGAATGAAGTTTTATTAAATACAAATGGAACTGGACGCTTCGAGTTCTTCCTTTGTCAGTTTGGAAGTGAATGAGTAACACATTATTTTCAAAGATCAAGTTTAGGAACATTAATAATACGGGTACTTTTGATTTCAATACAAAAATAAGACCTTATATGATATCGAGCAAAAAGATTAGTTATTCTGCATTGTCACTATGCAATAATTCGTTTGACATATAATAAAATGTTCGAATTAACAATGTATCGTTTTTTAAAAACTTTAATATCTAAATAAATGAAACATTGAAATCATTTGTTATTTGATCAATAGTTTAAGAGTTGGCTTTTATCTTGTCTTTTTGAAAGGGTCTATCAAAGAAAATACTTATAAAAAGTAAATGATAAAAAAAGGTATGCTACGGCATACTAGTATGACTGGGATGATTGTGAGTGTAGAGATTAAAAAATCTCACATCTACACCTAGATCCATTCCTCTGTATACTACTGACGAACAAAACTTATATCAGTTAACTGATAAAAATACTTTTATTTTATATATTTAAGCTTAGAAGAGTGTGTTCATTTATATGATTAAAAAATAGTGCTTGAATAAAATATTTTCAATTAAAAAAAAGTAACTATTCAGTTCGAATGATAAATAACCCGTTGATATGTTGTAGAAGAACTGAGAGCTGTAATATTACCACATCTATATCCACCATGAGCTGATATTGTATCCCAACAAAGTCTATATATCGGATTTGTTGATGCAGTATCACATGCAGACCGATACACTACATCATTATTGTTGACAAAACCCCACGAGTATTCATATGCAAAATACCATCCAACACCGTTAGCTACATGTGTACAACTAGTTGACATACCACAACTGTATAAAACATCATCTCGAAGACCCATAGCTGCTACACTTAATAAAGAACTTCCTACTGGACGACAACCAAGCATTAATTTTTGTTTATTACATATTCCCAAAATAGATATAAGAACACTATCATTCAAAATAACATTATAAGTATCATTGTAACAAAGTGACCAATCATTAGATAATGCTTGAGTATCGAAATTAAGTTGAACACCGTAGAAAGAAAGATTACCTATCATACAATATATAAACAAGATATCTATCAATGTATAATAGTTAAATTTACCTGAAACTGCTGTCATATCTATATGAAAAAGAAAAAGAAACAAGTTCGTAGCACATATGTGTGTAAGAAAGCAAAAAATGACTTGAAGAGTGTGTGAATAAAGATAAGATACCTACTAACAGTTATATAAATAGATTTTGATTAGATTCAATATTTTCTTTCTCCTGAAAATCATTGAATGTTATCTAAAAGTTTTAATTCTAATTGTACACAATGAACGCACAATAGTCTGAGTTGATGAGAGAGTGAGTGAGTGATTAATTATACGGCTACTCATATCCTCAAGATAGAAATTTCTATTCGATGACAGAGGATAATATGAAATAACTCAAATTCTTACTTGATGAACTTATTCGAGTAAAATAAACTACTCCTGGACCAGTAGCAATAAGTGAGAAGTTTCCACTTATGAATGGATAATATGTTGTTGCGATCACTGTATAGTTTATCGAAGGTTGAAGAAAGTATACAAGCTTGAACTGTTGATTGCCGGCACCATCATCATCATATGAGAGTAAATTTTTTGTTGGATTCGTAGGATCAAAAGTAGTATTGAAGAGAAAACCATATGTGTCAATGCTGCTACTACAAGCGATTATATAGGTTCCAGCAACAAAGACATTAATTTTGATGGCTTCATAATAAAAATTTGAATTTGAACAATTGTCTGGATGACAAGTTGTTGGACTATAGGTAGTTAAAACTGATCTATAGTTTGATTGGATTATGATTGTACTATCTATTATATAAAAAGAAAATAATCTGTGAATGAGCAGATTAGGTGTGACTAATATTATATAAACAGCAATAAAACAGGTACTCTACATAAATAGATTTTAGATCCTTTCTTTGTTCAATAAGGACTTGAGTTCTTACTTGATGAACTTATTCGAGTAAAATAAACTACTCCTGGACCAGTTACAATAAGCGAGAAGCTTCCACTTATGAATGGAGCATATGTTGTTGCGATCACTGTATAGTTTATCGAAGGTTGAAGAAAGTATACAAGCTTGAACTGTTGATTGCCAGCACCATCATCATCATACAAGAGTAAATTTTCTGTTGGATGCGTAGGATCAAAAGTAGTATTGAAGAGAAAACCATATGTATCAATGCTACTACTACAAGCAATTGTATAGGTTCCAGCAACAGAAACATTAATTTTGATGGCTTCATAATAAAAATTTGAATTTGAACAATTGTCTGGATGACAAGTTGTTGGACTATAGATAGTTAAACCTGATGTATAATTTGATTGGATTATGATTGTACTATCTATTATATAAAAAGAAAATAATCTGTGAATGAGCAGATTAGGTGTGACTAATATTATATACACAGCAATAAAATAGGTACTCTACATTAATAGATTTTAGATCCTTTCTTTGTTCAATAAGGACTTGAGTTCTTACTTGGTGTAATTATTCGAGTAAAATTAATTACTCCTGGACCAGTTGCAATAAGTGAGAATGTGCCCGTTTGATATTGAATGTATGTCGATGTAACTACAACATAATTTACCAGAGGTTGTAAGAAATATGTAAGTTCGAACTGCTGATTGCCACCACTATCATCATCATACAAAAGTAAATTTCGTATTGGATTCAGAGGATCAAAACTATTATTGAAGAGAAAGCCATATGTGTCAATGCTACTACTAGAAATGATTGTATAGTTTCCAGCAACAGAAACATTACTTTTGATGGCTTCATAATAAAAATATGTGGCCAAACAAGATACCTGACGACAAGTCATTGGATTACTAGTAGTCAAAACGGATGTATAATTTGATTGGATTAAAAATTGAGTGCCTATTAGATAAAAAGAAAATTGTTAAATGAACATTTTTATCAACATCGACAAGTTTTAAAAATATTTCTAATCAATTCCTCAATCTTGTTAAAATTGAAAGTGAAAGTACATGGCATATATGTTAAGATAGGAGGAATGTCATAATATCTGATACTCCTATATCAAGATAAGACAATACACGATTGAATCCATAAAAAAGTTGTAGAATTTGAGGTGGTTTGATATAGCGGGGTAATAGTGTATTGTTTTACCTCCATTTATTTTATCACAACTTTGTGGCGGTAATCTCACGGTTCATTTCATTTTCAAAAAATAGAATTTTTATATATAAATGGCTGATGGAAGAGCACAGTACTACTAGAGGCAATCCTCTTTTTATTCTTTGTAAATATTATAGTTATTAATTACTTTGTGTTGTTAAACTTGTTGAGCTGTTATCTCCTGTCGTTGATACAGATGAATTGGTTCTTTCTGCTGTTGTTTCATCTAACAAATGAGTAGTCTAATAGTCAATTTGATCAGTTAAAAGTTACTTAATGATATATTTTGAACGGGTTTTTGTCGAAAATGAAGAGTGAGAGGAATGACGATAGCCGCTATTATGATGAGAAGTATCGTAATTAAACCACCAACTTTTAGTGCAATATGCATTGTTGAAGAAATCGACCTATTCAAATAACTTTAAAGTTGGTGGATACGTGTATTACAGATAAATATATGATTCACTTACCTTCTCACGTCGAGTTCAAACTATAAATACGAAATAACTGATAACTTGTTTTTTATTTGCTGGTTGTCACTGGCTTGTTTCCTCCGTACAGATCGATGAGCAAAAAAAAAAAGAAAAATAATTAAATCTTTTTTTTTCTTGGAAAAAATATTCTTTTTGGTAAAGTTAATTTAAAAAAAAAGGGTTAATTTCTGCCTTTTCAGTGAGATTGCTTTTTCATCAACTAACAAAAAATACACGTGTTGTCTTTTAATTTATTAACTTTTTGATAGTTTTTTTCTTCCATTAAGATAAATATTCTTCTTAAATTTATTCTAAGAATAGTTATCTGTAATTACTAGAATGCACACATATCTACTATTGATTATTGATTATTCTTCGATGTTTTTTTTCCAACTTGCATAAATGTAATCTATTTGAATGTGCACAATGACGTCTAATTTTTCTGTAGATTGGATGAGGAAACAAAAAAAAACAGGCATGACTTTATTACTGTTTGTGTTGTTAGATTGTTGAGTAAAAAAATATTTCATTATAGAGATTGAACAATACTTTTGAAGGACAACTGAGTATTGTCATGAAAAAAGTAAAATTAAAAGACGCAAATGAATAACATCACATGTGCCGTTCTATGGTAACAGATTTTGATGATGAATGCTCAAAAAGCAAATATCGAAACGTTATACTGAAAGAATAGATATCGACATTCATCCACACCCACACCCTCAAGCTTTTTAAATAATGAACAATGAATACAAAAGCAATGATTTCATCTATTGATCATATAGATTAGTCTGTTTCTGTTGGAGTAACTCTTTTTGTCATACGTAAATATAGTTTAACTATAATAATAGCCAATATCCAATAGATAATTACTAAACCACCGTATAGACTAATTAAAACTGTTATACCATCGATCACATTCGTATTGTCAATATAAGAATAAGTACATGATAATGGTGCACATTGTTTATAATAAGCTTCATACGACATATTACTTAATAATTCTTCAACCATTAATTCATTTACAATCGATCCAATAGTTGTATTCAGAGGAAAACGACTTGGTATTGATGAAGAACTGCTTAATGCTTTAAAAGTCTTCGTCGGATCAATACATGTTTGATCACTGAGACAGGTCAATGTCGATTGTAAAATAGACTCCAACGGATAACAACCAGATAACATACCTCGAGATGATGATACACATTTAGATGATAACGCACAGCTACAATCTTCAAATTTTAATGGTATATTATGCATCATTCCAGTACCAGTCGTATTACGTGAAACAGCAAATATCCAATTGGTAGATAATATACTCATTAACATATTTGCTCCAATCGTTTCGCGAATCAATGAAAGACTCGCGACAAATAATTGTGGCATTGTTAA